TATATACACACACACACACACACACATATATATATATAATATATATATATACATATATAGTATACATATTCAGCATATATAAAATGCGCTCACAATATCTAGCTTACGCCTTCCGCAACATCGTCGTCAATTGCCACACTGTCATCCTGCCAACCACATTCGGTGCACGTTTGGTACCCATCTCGTTCAACAAATTCTCTGGCTCCACAGTCTCCACAACGCATTGCTTAAACGAGCTCGGTGAACCAATGCACTTTTCTAAAACCCTAAAAACACGCAAGGTTTCTAATATGTTCAACCTAAAACAATATATCCACAGTACGTAGTATGGGTAATTACGATAGCGTCGGCACGATATTCATATTACCACTCCTCAAAAGTACAAATATATTTAGCTGCCGAAGTCTAATATTAAAATAAGGAGGTGGAAGGAATTCAGCCACCTGCTACTAGATGAGAAATCCGCCATTCCTAATTTAGCCAATGCATTCGATATTGCTAATGCTTCTCCACAAAACGCGCGAAATGATATTTATGTATTTATTCTGATTTTTGAATCGTCCCGTCACGCATGATTCGTCTCGTGGTATTTTATATCTTTTTCTAAAATATACATATTTATCATATGTATACAGATGTGTACATTGCGTAAATACATAAATAAAAAATACATATTTCAATGACCCAATGTCAATCCACATATTTCGTCATCATCATTTTCTTTTTGGATTTCACTGTTTCAGAATTTAGAGGTGATTGGAAATGGGTCTCGAGACTCGAGACGCGTAGAGGCAGCACCCAGACTGGCAGAAGTTGATGACTCCCATTTTAAAATGAGTGTTGGGTGATGACTGAATGACGGAATGACTGATGAGTCCCCGTGACCCATCACCTCAACAAGTCTGAAGTCTGAACTGCCCTCAAGTCCTGAACTCTGAAGTCCCGTTAAAAGAAATCAAGTTTCCTGTACAATCTATCGAAATAGTCCAAGACCCAACCCCCAGAGGACCATGTGTATTTAATCAGAGTATGTCTATTTTAGAAGGCTATGCAGAGTAAATGAGTTTAACTACAAGAATAAGATCAAGTATATCGAGTACGGTACACCCGGGGTGGCCAAGCCATTCGCCCAATGGTTAGCCGATGAGAAAACATCGGTAGATTGGACAACGACGTTAGAGTATTTGGGGGGCACAGTTGACGAGAATATGGGTGTTGCTGATGAAAACAACACTGCAATCTTGGAAATGTACACCGACTACGTTACCGTCACCGAATCGGCACCCGAGGTAGTTGTCGACAAGGCAGAGACACACTTTGGGTTTAGGGTAGAAGATATGCAGACTATTTTACCCGAGCTCGTGTACAGCGACAATAACGGGGTTGCGCGGGACATTAAATGGAACAATATAACGACGCTGCTAGTGAAGGAGAATCAGCAACTACACGTCACAATTGCAGACCTTGTTGCGCGAGTTGAGGCCCTTGAGCAACCTTAATTATCACTTGACGCTTTCATTAGTGTTAACTTAGCATACAATTTCTTATATGGTTGCGCTCCTATACGGCACTAAACGCTTTATGATCCAACATTAAATGTAGTCTTCAACACCACTGGTCAGTTCGGGTGATTTGTTTTCAAGCGCGCCGGTGTCAGACAGAGTTCTCCGTCCTTGAGTAGTTGTTTAAGCAGTTTGACGGGATCCACTTCTAATTCTTTGAGAAGTTGTTCGACTCGTCTGACGTGATCCACTTCAGAGTCTCGGTTGGTTCATCTTCGGGATCCATCATATTTTTTTAGACTGATAAACCGCTTGCAACGCAAGTTGTGCGTCGCTAATTTCGACATTTATATTCACTCTATTTAAAAAAATATAAAAAATATTATTTGGCTTCCAAAGTCGCAAACCGCGCTTCCGTGTCGCTGGTCAACTCGGCAATCTGCGCCGTCAGGATTTGGTTCTGCTTGACTAGCAGCGCCGTAATGTTGTTCCACTTGATATCTAGCGCCTTGCCGTCCGTGTCGTCGTACACGAGCTCGGGTAAAATGGTCTGCACTTCCTCGGCCATAAACCCAAAGTGCGTCTCGTCCTTGTCCACAAACGTTTCCGGAACAGCTTCTGTTGCCGCCACGTAGTCCGCGTACAGCTGCTGGACGAACGTGTCCTGCTCACCGACACTAGCGGGCGTGTCTTCGGGGCTGGCCGAGGCAAACCCGGCTTCTCCCAACTTGGCCGCCCAACCTTCGTTGGCCTTCTCGGACACGAGCCAATCGGTAATGGTTGCGGCGACACCGAGTGTGCCGTATTCAATGTACTTGCTCTTGTTGATGTAGCTGAATTCCTTGACCTCAAGCTGGCCTAGAATAGCTCCGGCGTTGCGCGTTAACGGGACAATGTTTCCCTTGGTCTCGGTTGTCGATGTCGTGTACGTGATCTCGCCCGTCGTGGGGTTGTACGTCAGCGCATTGGGACTCGCGGCGTTGCGGATCGGCTTGACCATGAATGAGTTGGACATGGTCAGCGTGGTGTGCCTGAGTTCTAGGGACATGACCGGCGATCTGTCGCCGCCTTCGCGAGTTTTGATTTGCCACAGTACGTAGAAGGACTTTTTCTCGGAACTCTGTATGCCTTTGGGGATCTTGAGGTTCCACCGATACGTGCGCGTATCACCGTATGCGGCGCGCATGAGCCTTGTTTCGGCGTCCTCGTTCCACCAGGTGATTTCGTTGCGATTGCGCACATCACTGGGATCCGACGGATCCTCGCAGCCGTCGCGGTCCTCGGAGTGAATGTCGTTGCGCAGTACATTGCCGTGTGTGGCGTTTTTGACCACAAACCAGTGCTTCGTGGACTTGTGTCCCGACTCGCACTTGTCCTGTCCCATGATTCGGATCTTGTGTTGGTCAAACGTCGCAAAGGCGTCGTCGCCCCACTGTTTAGGGTTTTACAAACTCAAAATGTTCTTGAAAAAAATACACTCAGGGTTTAAAAGGATTTTTATTTTATAAGACAGCGCGACCGTTTTCGACAATCCGAAGAATCGGTTTTTTTGGGGGGGGGGAGGGTTATTTGTGTCACTGTATGCATTCCACTTCATCGTCCACATCTGGAGCGAGAGATTCTTGAAAAATTTGTGGTGTGGGTTTAGGGTTTTAGGGTTTATTAGTGTGTGTTTTTTTTGTGGCATGCGTCGCAAGCCTTGCGATTCACATTCATCATTCTACGATGTCCACCCACGAGCGCATTGAAGACAGTGACTCCTCCGACAATTTCAAACATTTCCCGAGTGCACTAATGTCTTCAACGCTAGTCTCACACAAGTCCACTCTTGACAATTTGGAACAGTTCCCGAGCGCACTAATGTCGCAAACATTAGTGCTACTGAAGTAAACCTTCGTCAGTTCCAAACAATTCCCGAGCGCACTAATGTCGCAAACATTAGTGCGACTAAAGTAAGCCTCTGTCAGTTCCAAACAATTCCCAAGCGCACTAATATCTTTAACGTAAGTCTCACACAAGTCCACTCTTGACAATTTGGAACAGTTCCCGAGCGCACTAATATCTTCAACGCCAGTATCGCACAAATTCACTATTGACAATTTCAAACAGTTCCGGAGTGCACTAATGTGTGCGACATTAGTGTTACTAAAGTATGCCTCTGTCAGTTCCAAACAATTCCCGAGCACACTAATGTCTTCAACGCCAGTATCGCACAAGTTCACTATTGACAATTTCAAATAGTTCCGGAGTGCACTAATGTGTGTGACATTAGTGCAATTAAAGTTCGCCTCCGTCAGTTCCAAACAATTCCCGAGCACACAAATGTCACTAATTCCAGTCTCCCATAAGTCCACTCTTGACAATTTGAAACAGTTCCTGAGTGCACTAATGTCAATGACGGGGGTGCTAGCCAATCCCACATCTGTCAACTCCAAACAGTTCCCGAGCGCACTAATGTCAGCGACATGAGTGTCATTTAACTCCACGACTGTCAGACTCAAACAGTTCCCGAGCGCACTGATGTCAGTGACGGGGGTGCTTATCAATCCCACGTTTGTCAGCTTCAAACACTTCCCGAGCGCACTGATGTCAGTGACGGGGGTGCTTATCAATCCCACGTTTGTGAGCTTTAAACACTTCCCGAGCGCACTAATGTCAGTGACTGTAGTGTTACTCAATTCCACGCTTGTCAGATTCAAACAGTTTCCAAGCGCACTAATATCGGTCACCGTAGTCGCGCGCAAGTCCATCTTCATCAAGTGTGTCAATCTGTCGATGTCAATAACGCCAAGGGCGTCTCTACGCAAAGTAAGATTCTTTAGTTTCAGGTTAACCAGTCCAGTGCACTCGGATAAGACCTTAAAATGGAGCGTGGGATACAGCGTGCCAGTCCACTGTTCGGTACCTTAGATGCAAAATTGGAAGTCTGAGTGCAGCAAAGTGCTTGTTCACCCTGGCTAGCTCACAAACATCCTTCCCTTCGAGATATGGAAGGATACCACACCACACGTCGGTGGGGATACGGGTCAGTGAGTGGAAATGGTCCATTGTTATGATGTGTAAATATGATGTGTAAAAATATTTGGATTCGACTTATATAGTAACACACTGGATCGTTGTATTGTCTACCAAAGACGCAGGGTGGGTTTTTTTTGCTGGGGACCTTCGACGAGACGACGCCGTCTGATGAACATTTTCGAAAACAACGGACGTCTTTGGACTTGTGTCGGGACTCGCACTTGTCCTGTCCCGATTTTTGAAGGCACTTTCATCTGTCCAGGATTTTACAAACTCAAAATGTTCTTGAAAAAAAATACACTCAGGGTTTAAAGGAATTTTTATTTTATAAGACAACGCGACCGTTTTCGACAATCCGTCATTCTATGAAAAATCGTTTCTGTACAACTATCGTGGCAATCACGTTCAAATTCGGTTACGCACATTCGTCCGGCACGTGGGATACCGGGAATTTACTTTTGTTTTTTTTTTGGGTGGCATGCGTCGCAGCCTTGCGATTCACACACCTCACACAGATCGCACCTGTGCGGCTTATCGGATTTAGTTTTTTTTTCGTCCTCGTCGGAATCTGAACGACAATCGAACATTGCAAACGGCTTATACTTTGCAGCGCACTTTTTGCACTCCTGGTGGAATTTCGGAAACGCGTGAGCCGAAAGCCAAGAAGTACCACAGGGGTTTTTATTGGTTTCTGTCGAACACACATAAATGCCGAATCCCTTGGTCGAAATACCTTTCACGAACCAAACGCCGTTGGGAAATGCTTCGGTGAGCCAGTCGGCGCCAGCATCCACTAGCAGTTTCGACTGCAGGAGTGGGTCCATGCGCTGACGAGATGAAACTCGGAGCTTGCCGATCTCGCGTGCAAGACTATCAACCGGCGTGGCGGATTTCGAATGAGTCAGCGCGACGTGGTTTCCAATGTCGCCGATGCAAGTGTAGTCGCAGTACTCGCACACCTCCACCTCGGGATCGCCCATGGGTAGGACTGGATGTGGCGAGCGAGGCTCCCGGCACAGGAGTATGGGCAAAAGGGGCAGGCACCGGTCACGGGAAGAGGCTCCCGGTGAGCAAGACTATCAACCGGCGTGGCGGATTTCGAATGAGTCAGCGCGACGTGGTTTCCAATGTCGCCGATGCAAGTGTAGTCATAGTACTCGCACACCTCCACCTCGGGATCGCCCCCGTTGGGATGGGTAGACTGGATGTGGCGAGCGAGGCTCCCGGTACAAGAATACGGGCAAAAGGGGCAGGCGCCGGTCACGGGACGAGGCTCGGGGAGAATGGGCACACCGTGGATGGCGTACTGGTGGTTGACGAGGCTCCCGGTACAGTAGTACGGGCAAAACTTGCAGACAGGCATCTTAGTTATTGAATGTTTCAATGTTTGAGAGATGTGGTGAGTGAGTGTGAATTGTTTTTCATTTCGAAATCGACTTTATATAGTGAATTTTGCGCGGCCCTGGTAAAAAAATATGAAAACGTGCGGGTAAATTTTTCAATTAGAAAACGGGTTTAAATGAAAATGGAAAGCTCGCGATTGTGTGAGCTTGAAAAAATGGTTTCCTGAATTCCGACGGGCAGGTCGGATAGCCGCGGTTTCTTTCGTGTTGTGGGGTGGTGCCGCGCGTACTGCGCCAATATCAGATACCAAGGTTAAAAAAGGAAGCTATACAACATCGGCAAGTATATGCCAATAACACCTTCACACTCGTGCCTAATTAACGACTCAAAAGAATAAACATCGTGCAAGCAACCTGGTCAAAACTAGCCTATCAGTGCATATTTCAATTATCAATAGGCGTATACTAACATCGCCTCGTTAGTGAGTATACGCGAACACCAAACTCGCTTGTCCCAGGGAAATTAAAGACTGTGCAATTATGGCACGCGCAGATCCGGCTACAATAGTGCTGATGAGTACCATGCTTTTCCAGCTGGTATTATGGTGAGTTTAGTGACTATGATATATATTAGTGACTATGATATATATATATATATATAATACATGTATATATATATATTATATATATATATATATATATATATATATATATATATATTTGTATATACCGTAAAAGTAGTTTTCACTTTCACAGGGTTATTAGGCTTCATTGATTTAGTATGGATGTTCACCATCCCAGCTTGTGCTTGTCAACTTTGTGTGTCATTGCAGTACCATAAGCACCGTTCTACCCGCTATCCTTCACTCCTTCACTCTATTCATGCTGGTTTTGTGTGAAGCATTGTAGTGCATTTGCTCATTGTGACAATCCAATATTGCCTTCACACCCGCGTGCACTGGAAGCATCTACGATAAATCCGCCTATCATGCTCTTCGCGTACTTTTACTAAATATTGTACGAGTATCTGTTCATGTCTAGCACAGGGTTTGTCGCCCTTGGTCCTTTTGTATTTTTGCTTTATTACATGGTACTTCTGCTTGCCTTCCTATATTCTGGTATTACTTTTCTTCGCATGTGTAGACGATGCATATGTAGACGATGTAGGAATATTTGTTTATGTCTAACATACGGTATATCGCCCCTATCACTTTTTGGATATTTATATCATTTCACGAGACTTCTTCTGTTCCCCTTCCAATATACTTACACACCTCTTGTACTTCGCTTCGCATGTTTGCCTGATTCGTCGTACAGTTGATTGGGACGGGTAGGAGAGCCAAAGCAGCGGTATGTCGGTTGTAACTGTGGGCTTGATACATATATCGTACGGATGTATGTATATGTGGGGTATTGACTTACGCTGTCTACATGCATGTTCAAGCATGTCCATCAAAGGCCGCATTCGTGTGAGAGTTCGTACTCACAAGCCTGTGGCTGTACCCATGCTGGGTGTATTATAGTCTGACTACCTTTTCTGCACGCGCTCACATAAATGACGTTGCCCATGTGCTTGCGATTTTATGTATTGTCGATAGTCTGACAACCTTTTCTGCACGCGCTCACATAAATGACGTTGCCCATGTGTGATTTTATGTATTGTCGCTCACTATACTCGCTATCTATATATATATGCGTACATTATGTGATTCGAATGCACTTGATGGTTTTTGATTGTAGCTATGACTTTGTATATATTGTAGCTATGACTTTGTATATATTGTAGCTATGACTTTGTATATATTGTAGCTATGACTTTGTATATATTGTAGCTATGACTTTGTATATAGTTGCTTAGGACCTCGATCTAGTTCCGAGGTTCACCATCCTAGCCATAACTGTGCATCCTAGCTCGCTCCCATTTGAAAGACCCCCCCGTGATTCACTATAGCTTGCTTGCGCGTCCTTCCGCTCAGATGGACAACAACTTAGAGGGCTGTGTGTTCTTGTACGGTGCGGTATTGGGCTCAGTCGCCATCCGAGGGCCTCAGGATGGCTCGTGGCTTGTCGCTGGTCTCTGCATCTCGCTGTGCATCATTCGGTTATTCCATCTATACTTTTGTAAGTCGATATGGAAACTGCCTTCGTTTGCCTGTGTCTATATTTACGGTGAGTGTGTATATGATTGGGCCAAGGTTAGTGGGATGAAATTGTCTATACATGTCTACGTGGTAATAGTTACTATACTTGTGTATGTCGCTATTAAAACGTTCTAGGTTTGGCGTTGGTGGGTGTACCATGCTCATGCGTTGGCCGTGTAAGCATGTGCATTTGGGTTTGTTTATTATTTAACATACGTTTAATACATTTGGATGGTCATATTTTGGGTTTCCACTATTCCTAACCTAAGAGTTCGACTGCATATGTACATGCGTATGTGATTTAGTTCATTTTTAATTGTTTTCAGACAGGTTTAAGCTGTGGCTAATGGATCGATTCATATTTTTTTTCCTATGTATATATTTTATTTGTAGATTTAATAATTAATTCATTTGCAGATATTTTTCTAAGTATATATTTTTGAAATAAAAGAATATAGTTGTATACACATACATAAATTGTATCATATTTGCACGGGCATGTATGTATTTATATCTTTTCAGTCTCCCGCGCATTAACATGTATTACAACTGAGGAAATTAGATTCGTACTGACATTCATGTTATCTTCACTCTTCTCTTCATACATGTACACCGCTAGATCTGAGTGGTCTGTCGACGAAACGCTCTATCACGTACACGTTCACAGGTCCCGTTGTCATCGCCATGATGATTGTCAACGTAGTAGATGCCTCGACCTAAAATCTACAAACCAGATATGATAAGGAAATATACACAGCCATTATATGCACATACATATACACCACCGTATACCAGCCTGTTTCCCCGTTGTATCCCTACTACCCCACTTCCTATCCCGGGAACACGCGGAGATGTAAGTAAGGGAAATTCATACAGTGACACACTAGAACTGCAGACCCACTGCACACATGCGGAACCATACGTTCACTACGGTCGCGCTACATACTCATGGCCATCTTTACATTCGTGCCGTGCATAGTTTGAAATTAGATGTATGCGCCAGGGCTAGTCGATCTTGGGTATGTATATCTGGTGGAGGTGCAACCAGTCACCAGTACGGTTAGCAACCTCGTCGCAGATATCATATCGCAGTAGTCAATTACACCGCGACAAGGTGTAAAGAATAGTGCAGCACGGCAGTACACTATGAAAATTACCATATAATAATATATTAAAGGCCTTTTATTGGGCAAAAAAAATGCTCAGAGCTGATTTTAAACCGGGTTGTGTGGCAGTACTCAAATTATGCCGATCGTTCCACTTTCACCGCATGTCTGTGGGTTTTACAAAGCTTGGGGACAATAATTTACCTCCACATCAATTTCAATCTCTATATGTATGCATGTATATATTATGTACCAATTAAGCGTGCGCCTCAACGTACATGGCACGCAGTCTCACGGGAATCGGGCCGAGTCCAGTTCACATGCATGATTCGTCTATACATCCTGTGCACATTGCACGTTATTTACATCTCTCGTCCGCGTGTGCAGAGCTTCATTGAGCTAGTGCATATACGAAGTGCTCGAGTACTGGACTTCCGAGCCTATGAGCATCTGACGCACAAACAAGGGCGTGGCTTCACAGCAATCCTTACGAATTGCTCAACAACACTGTCTATTCTGCCTCACTTCGGCATCCATCGTGTTTACACTAAGCGACCGTGTGCACATCCAAGGGATGACCGACTCTACTCGAGTATGGGTGAGCCAAGGGCAGTCACTACAGCCAGCGCGTGTACCCCCTCCCTTACAACAATCACCACGTGCGACTATGACAGGTCCGTTGACGCGCTGGTCAACCAGCCATACACTCTCCGCCGAGTGTACTCGGCCGGTATATGACTTCTTGCGCAGAATATTGTGCTGATGGGTAGTCCGTAATTCCTCTTACGTGCGCTTCAAATCGATCTTCGGACGTAATCCACACCACACACTAATATAATATCGTTGTTCTCGACGTCGGTATATGACTTCTTGCGCAGAATATTGTGCTGATGGGTAGTCCGTAATTCCTCTTACGTGCGCTTCAAATCGATCTTCGGACGTAATCCACACCACACACTAATATAATATCGTTGTTCTCGACGTCGTGCTGTTCTTGCGCTGTTGTTAAATAGGCTTTCCCGTTGTCCCTATAGTTCACCCGCAATTCGTTTTCACGCCACCTCTCAGCTGTACCATTGCCATATCATCACACCACGAAATACATCCATCAGCCCAACTCGTCCTTCGTATTGCTTGGATATCGCCCATCGTGCATGAGTCATACATTAGTACAGTACCATTGGATAGTCTTTCCGCCGCCATAGTACGCCAGCCAATCATAATGCTGGCATGGCTTCATCGTGCTCATTCGATTTACCGAGCTCGTCAAACCCTACAATCTACAGCCAATGCAATCTCACTCTTCTCCACGCTTTCTTTTAACAGTATGCGTAACTTTCCAGCCAATCAATTCACGTACATATCTACAGAGCTCTACTATGATTGGCTTACATGTCGTCATCGCTCTCATATGATTCACTGAACTCGTCATCGTCTTCATTGTTCAGCAAATCGTAGCGGCGTCTGCTCATCTCTTGTTGTCGCAATCGCTCCTGTGTAGTGAGTATGAGAAGGTCCGATATAAATCGAAGTTTGTAATGAGATGACAAAAAGTTCATACAGTGATACGGATGATGTATCAACCAAGGGCAGTCAGAGTGAAAAGATCACAATATTTGCTTGAAGTGTATGGCAATACGCGACTGCAGACAAGGTGACCTCGCCCTTCAGAACTACAGAACTGTGCGCTATAACTACATGCATATAGAGAAACAATGTCGGAGGAACATATCTGTATACAAAATTTAGACGCATGGGAATGATCGCAAGTGTGAACAGCCATCGACAACCCTAATTGGTTTCCGATACGTTAAATCAGAACAATTTCTCCAAATAAATACGACAAACGACAAATACGACACTATCAGTAGTACGCAGAGCACAGGGATAAGAATACAATGTACCAATACACTCTCAGCTACATTCTGTATTGACACGCACTAGCATCACATATGCTCTAGGAGGCCTATACCTGTATTGTATGTTGTTAAGTATGAGCCCAACCACACTCATCAGAATTGCTACACTGGTTAAATGACTGCACCCGGAACGCACTACTGAACACTGCATTCCAAAGTCCAAAGGAGAGAATTCGTACCCAGGTAGACGAGATTGACACACCCGCCGGTAAAAGAGGCACCCTTACCAATCACTGACTTGAGCCTTCGACCATGAACTTGTGCACTACAGAGAAATGAAACGACATACTGGCCGAACAGCTCAACAGCCCGTGTGTGGAACTGCACACCCAGGCCAAGCCAGCATGCAAGCGACCGAGTGCCTCGCCTGCACGCCAAGACTACTTCACTATGCGTAGTATGACTACAAGACAATACGCCACTACCACTGTGACCAATGGGTTAGGCATGGAGAAGTCACTGCACAGGGCACGCTTGTGACTATCGACGTGTATAAACACAAACGCCTAATAAGCATATACTTGGCAAATCTTGTAGGTATGTGTATGGCCATATACACGGCACATTTTATGCAATCGACGATATGCTCACATTCATCTAATGGTATACCTTACAAACGTTCAAAGATTAGCTCTGTCGTTGAACTGGGCAAATGCCTGGCATCGAAATCATACACACTCGTCTAGCACTATACTTTTCCCAGTAGTATTGTACTACACACAGTGCACCCTTTAAACAAGCGTAGTATATACACACGCTTATCCGACCAGCACACACCTTAAAACGGGTAGCCGCGAAACTCACAAGCAGACCACCGGCCAGAACAACTCCGAAGAAGATGCCCATACTGTTCCAAAACGAAGATCCACCATTCTTCTTTTCTTCTGTCTCAGTCGCAGCATTTGAGTCCATTTCCAGGCCCTTGCCATCACTTCCATATCCCTTTTGGGCTTGATTTGCCCCGGATTTAGGAGGGCTACCGCTCACTTTCGCCTCGAAGCTTACCAGTGAGTAGGGGCTGTCAGCCACCCAGGCTTGCTCCTCCACTTGTATATCATACACACGTCCGCTATGATTGTCTCGTACCGTGATGATGTACTTAACACCCGCAACAACTTGCTTGTCCACACGAGTTATCTCCAGATCTTTCTCGCTCAGCTGCTCTCTGTTGGTGTTTGTGTTGTGCTGCGTCACGGCAAAGTGTAGCGCTCCTGTCACACTTTCGTCGTTAGTGTCTGCTGGGGTGATGCCACCTGCACCAGCCATAAAAAGTATGCCATAAATAGGATATTGCAGCAATATAGCAGTAACTATTGCTGATGCGACTCGTGAGCTACTGAAGTGTGCCGTGTGTATGTGTTGTGCGATTCTGCGTGCGAGGGGGTGATATGTAAATGCAATCCAACTTGTGCATCATACAATCCAACTTGTGCATCATACAATCCAACTTGTGCATCATAGAGGTTGTCAGGACATGCACGACACTCAGTTTTCAGTCCAAATTGATCAGCGGGGCCAGTATACGCAGACTTGTCTGCCCTTATACTTTAACAAATCCCTACAACTCACTATAACCTTAACATAACATAGTGACTAAACACACCTGGCATGTTCTTTACTTCCTCAGTGCCCAGTACATTGAAGTCTACCGGCTCCCACAACTCTGTGTTGCCGTTGGCGAGTGGGTGGTGCTTAATTGTGGCTTCGTATATCTGAGGTGTACTGTCAGCCTGGAAATGACCACAACAACAGAATCGAGTTTTGGAGTACATTCAGAAGTTCCTCGGTAGATTCAACTCGCTTAGAATAGAATATAGATCTTCATATCGAATAATAACATTCGATTTATGGAGCAGATGATAAACTTGCTATAGTGTACTTATGTTTTCGCAAACCCATAAGGTTGTGGAAAACAGACGTTCGCGGAGCATAGGGGAGTCTGAGACATCAGACAAAAGAAAAACCCCCACGCCAAAAACAAACAAATAAGGCTATGTCACATACGCTACACATCATATCCGTATATACCACAATACGTACAACAAGGGGAATGACGCAACGTTTCGGTCATATGTCGCCGGGCATGTGCGCTGTATGCCTTGAGTATTCAATCAGATACCAACTCACGCGTGTCCATTCGCTACGCCGTTTCATGTACGTACTTCGTATAAGCTGCATCTATGTGCCCTGGTATATATGACAATGTGCGTGCAACTACCAATAGTATAAGAAAAGAAAAGTACCAGATGACCACAATGCACGATGAGCGTGCAGCTATGACTGAACAGATGAACCCCGTCGCTCACTACCACTGAGTATGCATAACATAACCTCTTCCTAAAGTGTCGACGGTACTGAACGTTTGACCTTGACCAACGACGCTGACAGGCGATCGCTCTAGTTGAAATACACAGCAGACGCTTCCAACTGTCCTGAAAACGAACCCCTCAAAAAAACACAGCACAATCTTAGTAGCTATGATACCACCTGGACAGATAGATACAAGCATATGCACAAGACTTACCATCAGAGTACATTCAGATGTAGGCTTCATGTCATTTGTTTTGCGGCATGACGAAAGGCCGGCTTTCAACTTGAGTTTGTATATCTCCGTGCCATCGGTCTGGGTCTCCACTTTCTCCTCTTCAACACCCACGAGCACCATCTGATTCATGGAATTGCTTCCCGAATTGATCAAAAGCATGGCTTCTTGGATAGCATGCGCTTCCTGTTTTATTTTAACATTGCCAGGTTGATTTATCCAATTGTGTATGTGGGTATAATATAATCGGCCGATGAGGCGGTATATTCATGGTACTTCAGTCGGGTACAGTTGTGCTTGGGTAGTCGACGCTACTTTCATATGGGAATAGATGACGGTGGCAACGCATAAAGTGTAGCCACTTGTTCCAACTACATGCTCAGCCATATGAGATAACACATTTCTATATACAAGTAGAGACATGCGAAGACTTACGAACTTCCGGACAAGGACATGTACTAGGGATATAAATACTATGAGATATAAACGCGGCATGTCATATATATACGCCTCGGTGAGCATAGTGCGTATTTCAATTAACTTTGTTTTCGCTTTTGGGTTCGTAATGCCATGACAAGCTCAAGCCAACAGACCAACTCAGGCGAGTTGCCTCCATCAAGGCTCACATAAACCAAACACACATTCACAAATCTGCAAACGAGCGAGGCTTGATTTGATCTGTAGCAAGGTCTATTGTAAAAACAGCTACCCTGAATAAACAATATTTCCTGCTTTCCTGCGATCCGCATCTCACTGTACATGTTATACACAGGGCCATCCAGTCTACCAGATGGTGATGTGACGTATATGCAGTTGGTGCTGATAGTCGATTTTTCAGATTTTTGAACCCTGTCCGCGATATATATCCCACTACGTGATTGAGTGCACTAAAAATTATATCGAATATATATATATATATATATATATAGAACAGACTTGTATCAGTGACCGAGATACCTGTGTATGCAAGCGTATTGCTGAACGAGCCTCATCGACGCCAAACGTGTATACTACAAATACAGGAGCATATAAATATTACAATGATACTTTATATATACAACAACAAGACACAGAAACACTGCAGTATACCACACGGTAGGATAGTTCGTATTATAAAACTATATTTAAATATCACACTCAAGAGACGTATACTGAATTTACACCAATATACTGCTGTCTGCCACAACGTAGAATAGCCGATTTTCACGACGGAATTCATATAATATACATTGACAACTACGGTTTATAAATCACATACACTGACATCTGTCGTACTGGCTGCTGTGCAGAAGGCCACTGCGCTCAGAACGACGGCAAAGGTTCGTAACATGGTCTACTTGTATTCCACTATACGTTTCTTATAGGCTGGATTTGGAGTGGTAAAAAACTTGCAAACTCTGTACTTGAGTATGACTTAAAGGGATACGAATTCTCGAATATATGGTGTTATGTATGTTGTTTGTAGAGACAAGATGTGTTATGATGTGTATGTTGTACGCGTGTACAAGAAGTTATGTTGAGAAGTGTTTTTGTGCATATACTTATTTTAAAACACAACGCCATATCAACCTATGACCTACGAGGCTATTTGACTACATACTACTACTTTTTTTGGGGGTTTTTTTCCTTCCAAATTTTAGTATATTTAAATCCCTCACAAAATCTACGACTGAGTGATGTTTATTGGGGAACACGCCAGTTTTTTCGAAAAGGGTGTCGCTAAAATGTGAGTCATCGTTTTTTCCGACACAACTGCTTTTCGATGAGAGACCAGTCGGGAGTCGGACTCGGAGTCAGTCAGACTCACAGACCACAGTTAAATACATACAAACCAGTCAGTGTCACTCAGTGATCATAGACAGAGACAATTGCCCAAACGTAATTGGATAGAACTTTAAAATTGAACTTAACAATCAATGAATGCTAAGATAAAGGGAGGGTACATAGTCAACACTCAACACGGGCCACAAATGTTCGGAAACCGCCAAAAGCAGTCCCATGCTATTGTAGTGTGTAGTGTTCGCGGGGGAGATTGCAGCCTTATATTTTAAAAAGTTCATTGCGTTCCACAATAGAGGGACTGGATGCGGATGTAGTATTGTTTAGTGTCACACTTGTAGGCTGCAATCATGAGTATGTGCGTCTTGGAAGTAGTGTATGTAAATGTATGCGATAAGATCATATACACGAGGAGAAGATGCTGCACATACCTACAGTCTTCAAATGTGAAATGAGATTTTGGATACTGAGATCTGTAGTGTTAGCGTGTTCGCGTTTACTGTATAGATTGTAGAGCATATCGCTTTGTGATATGATTTTGATCCTCATAGTGTATATATAGGGGTGAGCTTCAATTATCAATATACTGCCGAAAGACACAGATTCATCATTTAGTACGGGATTAAGTTATCCCTATATATATATATGTATATATATATATATTTGTGAGTTGTTTGTGATATATATATGGG